TGTGTTTCATTTACATTGATCGAAAAATATACTTTCAATATTTCATATCCATATTTAGAGTTGTGAATGGACACGGAATTTTAAGTAAATATGGATTATTAAAATAGGCCTTCTTTCCGCACAGCCGTTTGATAGTAATACATTAATATGTAGGTTTTAGAAGCAAACCATTTATCTGTATCTTATTAAAATGGATTACGTAAGAATTCTACAAAATATGCAATCATCCATAGTCACACTTGCAATCAAATAGACACTCCCACATGTACAAACACACGCGCACATTTGTGTGTGTGTATATATATATATATATCATTATTATTATTAAGAGAATTTGAGATAATCATAATTAAGTAATAATAAAATTTAGAACTAAAAAAATAAACATAAATAAACAAGTAAACATAAACTATCCAAATAAATAATAAACAAATTAAAACTGCACCCACCGCCAAAGCAGCAGAATAGACTACGACAATCAATCCAAAAATTAGACTAATAAATAGCTTTATCTTTCCATTATTATTAAGTAAGCGACCTAAACAAATCCCTCAACATTTTTTACTATCTTAATAAAACCGAAAAGAATAAATATATAAAATAAAAAATAAAAATAAAAACCAGTAAAATAAATTGATCCAAATAAATAAATAAATAAACAAGCCACTGCCGCCAAAATAAACGCAAGAATGGATTAACCACAATGCACGACTGAGCGATATATACAAACAATCGAGAAAAAATCCAACACTCGCTGTCTGATGATTGCGTCTAGCATTAAACACCATGTCGCCTTCATGTGTTGACTTCAATGTTCACTTATATATATATATATATATATATATATATATATATATATATACTTTTATATATAGTGCTCAATATGAAAAATATGAAAGTAATACTAAAACTAGAGCCTTAATAATATGATATGAAAAGATTAGTTAACTTTTAAATATCAATTCTATCCCGACATCGAAGTTTCTTGGTAAAATTTCCACCCTTCAGTGGTAGTGGTTTTAAACGGTATTTGCAATATTTTTCTGTTTTTCCAATTTGTTCCTCGTCTTTTTTAATCCTCTTTTTTACTCCGGTTTGTATACGAATCATTTTCTCCGGTTATACCAGAGTGACATGTCTTATTACAACAGACTTCTCTTTTTCTGCTCATAACCAGTGAAAGCGTGACCTCAATGTAGCGAAGTTACTTTTTGCTGATAGAATTTAGCTTCTCGCAGGTTTTTTCTAGATATTATTATCGGTTCTGAAAGAGCGTAATGAACAACAGCAAATCTCCAATCAATCAATTTTAAGTCCTGCAGATAAGGTTGAATGCTTTGCTCAGAAATTCCATCTGGACAACTACATTGAATCTATAGCTGCATATACTTTTTTTTTTAAGCGTTTCACCCCAAGCAAGGCCTGGAGACATTAGGACGCAAGGGGTTACAGAAGACTTGGAGCGAGATCAGATAGGAGTGATAGAGGAAAGGATGAGGAGAAGGATTGGTGTCTACGTCAAGGACCATCTCCCTCTGGCCAGAGAGTTGTCTCTCGAATCGCCAGACCAGTCGTACATGTGTCTCCGACTATCTCTTCTCAATGCGGTAAGCTATCTCTTCTTCCTTTACCGCTCTCCATCCTCTCAAGACTGTGGGATACTCGATAGCATTTCTGACAGCATAGACATCTCCTTCAACTCCACCACTTGCAAAGAACCTCCTACCACTAGAACTTCGTTCTACTATCAACGAGCTGACTGATTTCCTCCGCGATGTCCCCTGAGATGTTATCTTTACGCTCCCCGTCCAAGAATGTGCTTCCGAGGTCTCATCCTGGGTTAAAGCTGGAATCGACGCTTTCATCCCCTCAACGATGCTAAGCCACTATTTGCTGCTCGGATGAAGGAGCGTATTGCATCTCACAAATTTGGCTCCAAAGATTATTGGCGTCTCCGCAAGAGCGTACTGAACAATTGCAAACCCTCTATACCTCCTTTGTTCAACCAGTTCGAAGTCCTGACCTCCTCTGCCGACAAGGCTGAATGCTTTGCTCGGAAATTTTCATTCAACTCAACATTCGACTCTTCCGGTGTACCCATACCCGACTTCCCTCTTAGAACTGAGGCCCTATTGAGTGGATTACACATAACCCCCGTCTTTGGTATTGGGCATTATCTCCAATTTAGACCCCAACAAGGCTAGTGGTGTGGATGGGATACCAGCCATTGTCTTGAAGAAATGCGCGCCTGAACTAGCGCCCGCTCTGTCTAAAGTATATAACTACTGCCTCAAGGAATCTTGTTTTCTTGACTGCTGGAAGTCCTCTTCGATTGTTCCTGTCTTCAAGAACTCTGGCGACCATCCTGACCATTCTAATTACCGTCCTATCAGTCCCCTTCCCTTCTTCGGCAAATATAACGTTTATTGATTGAAGATGGAAAACACGATCTTCCGTGAAAAGTTACAAACTGTGTCAGCGCTATTAATAGGAAAGAATCTAGAACAATGATATATGAAACCTGAGACGGCTGATGGATAAAGAATAAATTTCAAATCGGTTTGGCGAGGACTTGTTTATAAACAAATGCAAAAGGGTAGGAGGCGACGTTTAATTTGTAGTCATTAAAAAAAAAATAGACGAAAATAATATTTTTGATAAAAAAAAATCATATTGAAGTAAATTGGACCGGGAGGGTAAGATCAGTGTATGTTTACCGCTAACGAAATCTGATCTAAACATAAGTTGTATCCGCTGAATTTGGTCATCGAAAAGACAATTGAAAAACCTGAACATTGAACTAATTAATTTTATCCACTAAGAGATTTGAAATAGATCTGAATTTAAACTTTGCTTATGGCGACACTCGTGTTAAGTTGCGTGAACAACCTGGCTTATAACCTTCGGTTTGCTATATAAACGCGAGTTTTGCTGAGTTGGGAGACTTGGGCGTTAGACGAGAGTGAGTTGAGAGAGAGAGCGAGAGAGACTGTCGTTGCAGTGAGTCGGTCCAGTGGCGAGTCAGAGATAAGGACTTCAAGAAATATCATCGTCGTTGTAGCAGTCGCATTGAAAAGTCGCTGAAACTTAACGTTTGTCACTTACGACAACCAACTGAAAAGCTACACTTCCAAGTAGGGCTGGAATTACGAGTCACATATCCTCCCAAGTTGATTTGGAACGAGTTAATCACACACACACACACACACACACACACACACACACACACACCACACACACGAGATTAGTTGTTTTCTATCCTTTTGGTATAATTGGTAAAGGAGTTGTCCTCAGTTCTTATTCCATAAAACAGACATTTTATTTTTTTCTTGTTCGTTTTTCCGAGCGGCCTTTTGCCACATTCTAATTTTTCCTGCCAGAGCACCCTCACAGTCGTGCCTACATCCCCAATCGACCGTGAACGTATGGACAACACCCGCTTACTGAATCTAAAATGTGATTGCAACACAACGTGGGCAGCAGGCGGAACTTACTGCAGTGACCGGTCGAACAATCTACGGGTACTCAGGGAGCGTGCGGCCAGCTTTCCCTGAGTTCGGTTCAGACCGAGGGGCGCCTCAACCCAAAGAGGAAGACGCCGGAGGTTGAGGGGCTGAAGTTTTTTTAAAAAAAGATTTGGTGCCATTGACCAGGATTGACCTTGTTGAGTTACCACGGAAAATAAGGCCAGGAACAGCTTTGAAGAAAAAGCAAGCCTTAGCTATTATACTCAGGAAGAAAGGAAGTAAACACCAGCAAAACTGACTTTGTTTGTTGCATCGAGTCGGGACCGACTAAGACCAGTAAGAACTCTAGTCTGCGGACGATATTAGTACAAAAAAAAAAAAAAAAAATAACATAAAACGGAAACAAAACACGGAGCAGCGGACCTCAGGTAAGTCACTTTTTGGTTTCCTCTACTCCTCATTGCACTTAGATCTGCCAGTAATATTGTTGATTTTTGTCGACTCTGTACGCAGTTGAAGCGCCACCGCCGTGTTAAGTAGTTTCCTTGTTTGTCGTTAATCTCTCTTCTCGTGGGAAAGTGGTAGGATGAGTGTAGCAGGATCAGACGCCACAACCGACCTTGGGGACGAGGGGGGTCCCCCAAATAACGATAGGTTTCAGAAGGCTGATAGGTAGTATGAAGCTACCCACTTATAAAGGAAACCCTGCAGACCTGCATGAATGGATTTTCTCCATCCAAAAGAAGCAGGTGATTTATGGCTTATCAGATCAGGAGATGGTGCTCTTGGCCATTGACGCCGCAGCGGGGCAGGTGTCTAAGTTTATAGGGGCATGGTACAAAGAAAACCCAGCCGCGACATGGACAGCCGAGCTTAAATCCGCTCTGATACGGCAGTACGCAAGTGAGCGTACACAACCATTGAGGCAGTCAGGAAACTATTCCAGCTGCAGCAATAAGAAGGAGAGATAAATGAAGAATTGGGAGAAAGGATCGTAGGGGCTAGCGCATTAGCCTTTCCGGAGTTGGCGACTCGGAACAGCGGCCCTATTCAGGCCTTGTTAGCCGATGTATATGTAGATGCACTAAGCGACAGGGACTTGAGGGGCGATGTTCTGAAGGGAGGACCAATACCCTGGCAGCAGCCATAGAAGCGGCTTGGGCCAGCGAGCGACTCTGGGATAGGATAAGAAGCGACCTATAGGAAGGAGCCACCGGGGGGGGGCAAGGTAATAATAAAAAAGAAGGATCGGGAGCGGATCCGGATAAGGGAACCAAAGGAGGAGGTAAAAGAGGACTGGGAGGCGGAGGCTGACCCCAATAGGAAGGCCTGGGATGTGCGTTATGGGTTTTTCAAGACCACACCGTGCCGATATGGGCTTGTGTGTTGGGCTTGCAAATACAGTGGGCATCGAGCCCGCGACTGTCCGACAAACTATGGAGGCGACCCCAGAGATCTCTGGGGCCGAACTGTACGACTTGTGGCGAGTTCGGGCATAAGGCTCAATGGTGTACGATGGAAGGGGACCGCAAACTAGGGATAAAGCGAGTTAATACGCTGGTGCCTCCTCCCAAAAAAGGAAAGGGGTCCGGGAAACGCCAATGGGTCACCTGTGAAAAAGTAAGAGGCAGACCCCCAGTGCGAGTAAGACCTCTGAGATGCTGGACGTGGGCATGGTCGGACACTTTTCGGCAAGTTGTAATGAGCGAAGGTGTTGGCGCTGTGGAGGAGCGGGTCACCTGAGACGAACCTGTCCTCGCAGGAGAAAGATGGACCACATCGAACGAAAAAAACCCTAACTCGAATAGAGGGGAGGAAACGGGTTGCTAGTCCGAGAAAAGAGAGTCAAGAGTATATGGGCCCAGGAGGGGGCCGACAGAAATATGGAGCCACTAGAAAAAGTTGAACTCCTGTCACCGACTCCCATGTCTCGGTTGACGAGAAGACAAGGAAAAGTGGAGAACATACCGCAAACTAAGGAGAAAGGCACAGGTATACCGTTTGCTGAAGGAAGGGGGTAGATTTCACCTGTCATGTGTTGTTGGGAAACAAGAAGGTGAAGGCCCTTGTCGATGGACGGGCAGGTTCAGTGTCGCTGGTTAGCTCCAGGGTTTTTAGGCAGTTGGGACTGAAGGTCAAAGAGACGTCCTGTCGATCTACTAAAGATAGATCAAACTGATAGTAGCAGGATGAGAATAGAGGGGATGATGGCTACCTTTCCAGTTGGCAAGAATCAGAGGTAAGCTTAAGGAGCTTATGTGGCACCAGATTTGTGTGGTGAACTAATTTTTTTTTTGGGGGCGACTGGCTTAAGCAGAATAAGGCACAGATCAGTTTTTACCCCGCCACCCTAACAATAGATTGAGTAGAGATACCGTTGGGAGAGGATAATTATGAACAATTGTCAGTGCTGGCCCAAACAGATATAAAGCTGCCCTTAGGACCACTGTATCTGGGAAAGGCCAAATTGTAACAGAGGGAGTTCTGAACAAGGACCTGTATCAAGTAGTCCCTACTGGTAGCGAAGGAGAGATAACCGTATGCGATTCGCTAGTGAAGGGGTCAAGGACCGTTCCCTTACTGTTAACCATTACTGTCAATAAAACTATTAAAGAGGAGCTGACACATACGTGCCCAGTGAGAGAAGTCGAACAGGTGAGAGTATGGAATAAGAATAGGCCTGGAGAGAAGATAGGTAGCGAGGAAATAAAGGAAGAGGGTATAATAGCCCCCGAACATTATAGGAGAAAATTGAGCGGGTTGCTGAACAGTAATCGAGAAGTAATAGCCATTACTGACAAAGAATTGGGACAGACAGAGACAGTAGGAATGAAAATAGACACGGGTGACCACCCACCTATTAAGTTGAAGCCGTATAGAACCACAATCCACAAAAGAAAATTAGTAGAGGACGCAGTAAGTGAAATGATGGAATCAGGGATAATCGAGAGGTCCAAATCTCCCTGGAGTTTTCCCATAGTCATTGTGGAAAAGAAAGATGGAGGGCATACGTTTTGCGTGGATTTTCGTCAATTAAACGCCATTACGAGACCGCTGGCAGTGCCCCTTCACATGATTGATGATATTCTAGCTCTTTTGGGGAAGTCGAAGTGTTTTTCCACCTTAGATTTGAGATCGGGGTCTTGGCAGGTGGCCTTTGGCCGAAAGAATCAGGAAAAGACCGCCTTTACCTGCCACATGTGTCTCTTAAATTTCAGAGTTTTGCCGTTTGCGTTGGCGAACGCCCCGGGCGTATTTAGTCAGTTGATGTCCATCGTGCTAAATGGCACGGAGGCCTTTGCCATGGCATATCTGGATGACATTATGGTTTTTTCGAAGTCCCCGGAGGAACATTTTGAACATCTGCAGGAGGTGTTCAACAGGTTAAAAGAACATGGACTAAAACTGAAATTATCAAAGTGCCAGTTTATGAAAGAAGAGACGAAATACTTAGGGTTCATCATAAATAAAGAAGGGATAAAGACGGATCTAGACAAAGTAAAGGTTATAAGGGTCATGCCTGCATCTAAAACCGTAAGAGAGATCAGTGGATTTATTTGAGCAATCGGATATTATCGGAGGCTCATACCAGCCTTTAGTCGACTGGCAAGCCCTCTAATAGCGTTAACTAAGAAGCATGCTAGGTTTAAGTGGACCGAGGATTGTCGGCGTGCGTTCGAAGCTCTAAAGGACCAGCTGACAGCTATACTCCTGTTGGCCTACCCAGACCTGAGTAAACCTATGGTGCTATACACGGATGCTACTGATAAGTGCATCGGGGCGGTTCTTACACAACCATGTCCCGACAAGTATGGCCCAGTACCACGTGTTCCTGAGGAAGTGCCGATTTACTTTCTGTCTCATCGACTCACCGATACTCATCAAAGATGGCCAGTAATAGAGAAAGAGACGTTTACTATCCTGTATACTGTGCAAAGTTGAACTATTATTTGAGTGGGGCAGTGTTTACCATTAAAACAGACCACAAACCCCTCAAATATTTATTAGAGGCGGAGTGAACGAATAAGAAGATACAGCAATGGGAGTTGTAACAAGTGGATATAACTGCAAGATAGAATACTTGGCAGGGAAGGAAAATACCTCAGCTGACCTGTTATCAAGGATTCCGAATCAACTAGAGACGGTTAGAGCCTGGTATGGATGATAAGGCATTCCAAATGTGATCAACTCACATGCACCGAGGGAAGGGCTTGGTTGGGAGGATCAGGAAATTATTTCCGACCCCCACTGGAGAGACATTGTTGGGCAAAGCCAAGAGGATAGAGAGATAGCAGCTATCAGATCCAAGGTAGGGCGTACCTCCAAATATATGGTGCACGATGGAGTGTTGCATTACCTTGCAGGTAGAGATGAGGATAGTAAATCCAAAAATAGTGATACCTGAGAAGTTGAGAGCCGAAGTTCTGGAACAGTGTCATAGGAAGTTGGGACACATGGGAATTGATAAGACATGGATTAATAATGAGGAATTATTATTGGCCTAGGTTGTTTAAAGATGTTGTGGACCTTGTAGAAAAATGCGTAACATGCCAAGTACAGAGTCGAAGGAGTAGGGAGGCCCCCGTATTAGAAACGGATGTCCCGAATTGCCCATTTCAGAAGGTAAGCATGGACATTTCCGGGCCCTATGGAGAAACTCCTAGAGGCAATCTTTACATAGTGAGTTTTGTGGACTGGCTAACGAATTAGCCTGAGGCATTTGCCATACCGGATAAAACGGAACAAACGGTGTCAGAGATAGTGCTGAACGAAATATTCACCAGATATGGGGCCCCTGAACAATTGGTTACCGATAATGGACCGGAGAACGTAAATCAAATTATGAGGGAGACGTTGAGGAATTGAACATACATCACATAACCACCTCCCATTATCATCCCCAAAGTAATGCGAAAGTGGAAAGATTTCATAAAACCCTCGCTGATGTGTTAGCTAAACTAGCTGAGGATAATAGGAAGAATTGTGAGTTATTCGTAACTCAAGCATTGGCGGCCCAGCGGTTCTCCATAAACGAGACGACAAAATTTTCCCCCTATTATCTAGTATATGGCCGGGATGTAGTCTTACCTATAGACAATCTATTGTGACCTAGGAGGTAGTATTTAGGGGAGGATCATCATCGAATAGTTCTAGAACAACAACACAAAATGTTTACGCATGTGAAGAGAAGGATTCGGAGAGCCCAGAAGAGGCGAAACGATAGGATAAACAAGGACAGAGGAGAAGTCTCCTTCCAGATCGGGGATCCAGTATATTATAGAATGCATGTGAGAGAAGGTACATTGGGTCATATTATAGAATAGTAGAGCAGACGGTTCCGGTTTCCTTTGTGATATGGGACCAAGTGACCGGGAAAGTAAAGAGAGTGCATGCGAATGATATAAAACTAACGGAAATAGGGGAATGGGAAGGAGCCGAAACAAGAATTAAACAGAAAAGCTTGAGGAGAACTACGTTAGTAGAAGCCGAAGACCTGGAGATTACCCCAACTACCCTTCGAAGGCTGAGGGAGGCAAAACTGACCACAGCGGGACCTTCTGAGGAGGCAGTAATTGACCCTAACCTTAGGGAAGAAGAGGAACTGAGTGAATGGGAAGAAGAGGATGAAATTCCGTTAACAAAATTGCAGAGTGAATTGAGGGCTGGAGAAGCGCCTAGTGTTAATGGGGAATTACTACTGAAATTGCGACTAAGCGGGGCGGTGCAGCCCTAGCTCTAAGATTAAGTGAAACCAGTACAATGGTTGTGCCGAATGAGCGACAGTCTGGGGTTGAACGGGCATTATCCTCGGTGTTGTGGATTATGTAGAAGGGCCCCCATTCATGCGCGGCACTGGTGGTGGTGCGGGTCGGCACTTGATGGGTTGCTCTAAGATATAACCACCCAATCAAAACCAAAAACAGGATGATTGTGTAAGACAAATTCTTCTCTCCATATGTTGCAGAAATGGACGAGAGGCGGCTAACGGTACTGATGATGCTGGTTCTGGTAGCTTATACCTGGGAACACAGTGAGAATACTATATTTAAGAAGACGTACGAAGTGGTTATAACTAGATCAAAGTGGTTGATAACGTTGGTAATACCTACGACCTTATGAGCAGTTGCTGGGACAGTTGAGGATCGAGGTGGACAAACTAGATTCAGCCAGGACACAGGTTGCGATAGAATACTTGCAGACGCCGGTATACCATCGTATATTATGCCCCGTAGCTCAAGAGTCATTAATAATTGAGAGACAATGGAAGGACATGAATTACTATTTGAAAGGAATAAAATTGTTACGGACCAGTCAGAAGAGGGAAGTACAACCTATAATGGGAAACGCATTGAGCGTGTTGTTTAGTACAGTCTCCGAAGGTGTAGTGAAGGTAATTAAGAGGAAACTAAAAGTGGTAGAGCAGGAGCAACAAGCCATGGCTCAGTTGGTTAGAGAAAGTGTATCGATACTAAACGTCACTAGGCTGGAATTAGTTAAAAGTAGAGGAAGTATTAATTGGTTAATTTCGCACCTACAAGCGCTTAGAGTAGAAGTGTTAAATGTAACTACGTCTATAACCACAGGGTTACATAAGTTAGAAGGGTTCTTGCAAAGATATTTTCAATTATTGGCTATAATGAGTAAGGTACGCCAGACAAGTCATTCTTTAACGGTATTTTTTGGAGCATGTGAGAGCACAGTTAGAGATGCTGTCGCTGAGACACTTGTCTCCGAGTATAATAACTCCGGAACGATTGATGGAAGTACTGCTAGAGATACAAGCCAAGCTACCCCAGCAACTTCCATTACCGGTCGACCCCATCCGGCAGCTATGGAAATATTATAGCGCCTTGGGATGTACTACCTTGCTGGAGGATGATAAATTACTAGTACTTGTGTCAGTGCCATTGCTGGACAGAGGTAGTACCTTTGAAATTTGAATCTCCCCCTTCCCTATCCAAAGCTAGAGCCGAAGATAAGAACAGTAGCTAGGTACAAAGTGGAGACGGAATTTGTTGCCCTTAATCTGGCCAGGACGAAGTTTATGCTCTTAAAGAAGCAGGAAGATGCAAGAATGTTGCCTTAAATACCTGTGGGTCTGTGAGTCTAATCTATGTGACAGGTAGCCACGATCTGTGCGTACTAGATTTGTTTAAGAAAAATAAGAAGGGAATTAGGGATCATTGTGAGGTAGAGGTATTAGCCTGGGTGATTTTGCCGAAGGCCATCAGTGTCTCCGACGGGGTTTGGGCGGTGGCCACACAAGAACGGACTGAATTATCTAAGGTGTATGCGGGGGAGCCCACTACTACAATAAGGTTTACCCCCCTTGTTTTTTTAGAGCTACCCCTCGGCTGTGGAGCTCATGGTCCATCTATCTCCTTACCCCTCTACTACCGGGCAGAGGAGACATTTGAAGAGAATGTGGCCTTATTAGGGCTAGTAGGAACGAATGCCAGTGAATGGGCGGAATTGTGGGAGCCCATTATTGGGTGGATTCCTAAGATGTCCCTAGAAAAGATGCCAGCGTTGTTAAAGCCAATCGATAAGATTGATCTTGGACGATTGAAGTCACATTTAGATAAGATAGATATACCGAGTCCTATCTGGAGAGAGAACTTGGTTGATATAATAACATGGCCGACCGTTGGGGCAATTATATTACTAATGGCCGTATCCTTGCTAGTTTGGCGGTGGATAAAGAGATGTACGATATCGTTGACCGGGCATAAAAAAAACTGGCAGGGCAATGCAGAGGTGAGGAAGGGATTCCAGTTAGTGTACTTTACCAAGGTAGGTCCGACCAGAGTGCATCAGAACCCCTAACTGATATTTAGAAGAGTCCACGATTGTCGTGGAAGAACCTGAACCAACAAAAGATTCGGCAAAGCCTGATGTGAAGGCGAGATAAAATCGGAGTGACAGATTTACGAAATAAATCGAATTATTTTTATTCTTTTTTTTTTGTAATGAGACTAAAATAATTGGTAAGGTGTGTTGCGAACTCTAATAATAAAAAAAAAAATGGGGAAGAACACTCAAACGAATGAACTACAGGAAAAGGTTCCATGACATGAGGTTGCAAGACCGTGAACTGAAAACTGTACCTTTGCATGCTGGAAATAATTCTTATTTTTTTTTTTTTTTTTTTTTTTTGGAGTTCCGGTTGGGAGGTGCAACTTGGAGCATGTCCCAGGTGGCTCGTCGTAAGAGCATGTTGGGATAGGGTTTCTCGCACCAGGCGATATGAAACTCATGTGTCATTTACTAGTGAATGACAGATGGATAGGGGAGTGATGTAACAGAGAGTAGTTGACGCACATGAATGCACACACGCAAATATAACGTTTATTGATTGAAGATGGAAAACACGAACTTCCGTGAAAGTTACAAACTGTGTCACCGCTATTAATAGGAAAGAATCTAGAACAATGATATATAAAACCTGAGACGGCTGATGGATAAAGAATAAATTTCAAATCGGCTTGGCGAGGACTTGTTTATAAACAAATGCAAAAGGGCAGAAGCCGATGTCTAATTTGGGTCATTAAAAAAAATAGACGAAAATAATAAACATAAAATAAAAAAAAAAAAAAAAAACATATTGAAGTAAATTGGACCGGGGAGGTAAGATCAGTGTATGTTTACCGCTAGCGAAATCTGATCTAAACATAAGTTGTATCCGCTGAAAAGACATCGAAAAGACAATTGAAATGAACATTGAACTAATTAATTTTATCCACTAAGAGTTTTGAAATACATCTGAATTTAAACTTTGCTTATGGCGACGCTCGTGTTAAGCGCGTGAACAACCTGGCTTATAACCTTCGGTTTGTATATAAACGCGAGTCTTGCTGAGTTGGGGAGACTTGGGCGTTAGACGAGAGTGACGTTGAGAGAGAGAGAGAGAGAGAGAGAGAGAGAGAGAGAGACTGTCGTTGCAGTGAGTCGGTCCAGTGGCGAGTCAGAGATAAGGACTTCAAGAAATATCATCGTCGTTATAGCAGTCGCATTGAAAAGTCGCTGAAACTTAACGTTTGTCACTTACGACAACCAATTGAAAAGCTACACTTCCACGTAGGGCTGGAAATTACGAGTCAAGTTGATTTGGAACGAGTTAATCACACACACCTCTCTCTGTTGGTATAATTGGTAGAGGAGTGGTCCTCAGTTCTTATGTTAATTGCTTTTGTATCCTTTCTGTAAACTCTTTCTACTGTTGTTGTTTTCTTATATAAAAGGCATCAATATTTTACCCATTGTTGTTCGGCTTCTGCAGATATTATTTCCTTGTTTGCCACATTCTAATCTTCCTGCTGCGCACCCTCACAGCCGTGCCTACATCCCCAATCGACCATGAACATATGGACAACACCCCGCTTACTGGATCAAAATACTAACACAATGTGGGCAGCAAGAGGAACTTGACCAGTGACCGGTCGAACAATCTACGGGTACTCAGGGAGCGTGCGGACAGCTGCCCCTGAGTTCGGTTCAGACTGAGTGGGCGCCTCAATCCAAAGAGGAAGACGCCGGAGGCTGAGGGGCTGCAGTGACGAGTGGTAGATTTGGTCTGTCCACCTTGGTTACTCAAGTCCGACTTGCGTTTGGCCATTGGGATCCTGTAGATCTTTACATATATCATCGTTGGGGTCTTCGCATTTGGTAATCCTACAGAAGTTGGCTTCACTCTTGATACTACTGTTACACGCGAGCCTCTAAGACAACAAGGGATGACCATATATATTTTAAAATTGATGTTGGAGTGAACAGTTCACCATAAAATATACGGCTTTGACTTGTTGTTACTTTAAGGACAATAATAGAAACCAATCAATAAATTAGGAAAGCATAAATGTATGTAATTATCATCAAATATGTGAGAACGTTTTACTATTGCTGCTGCTAAAATTGAAATAAAATAAATTCACTACTGAACCAATGGTAAAAAAAACTGGGCTCCTCGGCATAGTGTAATGATTAGCAACTTTGTCTCGCTAAAACAGTTACGACTGAATAGAGAGTTCGATTCTCACTGGGTGCTCCATACTTTCGGCCTTCTGCCACATCTAAGCTACGCTTAGAAAACCATTTTTAGCGCATAAATTACTCCTTGGAGTGCTTTTCAACGCAGGCTTATCATCTCTCAGTTGCGTTTCTGTCTTTGGGCAGAGTTCGCTCAGGGTCTTCTCTGTCAAAGGACAGAGGCGCAACTGAGAAAATTATACTGAAGAGGTGTCCAGCCCTGGGGAACAGCTGCCCGAGGCCGCGACCTCCCATTGCACAAGAGGGAGGGATCGGTGCTCGCATCGAGGCCAGCGCAAGCGACGGTTGCGGGGGCTGTGGGCAATTTTTTTCTATTGCCCCGGTGTACGATATATGATTTAATTAATTTCCTAGGACAATTGAATGCAAACAGAAATAATCACACAACACTTTATATCTTAGGATGAGTAAAACTATTGTATCCTGTAATAATCTGTAATCCTTTCTTGTGAATTTTCATCAAGATATTACGCACATCTTAACATATTGTCTTTCACTGTTTTTGACAAAAAGCATCTTCAATTTCGAATTCAACTCTTCCTTCAGATTTGCTGTCGGTTTCAAATCTAAACTTTAAGTTGATTATCATAAAACCTTAATACTATTTATCTACAGATAAATTTGAAAAATAATTGTCATGGATGAATGTCCAATGATATACCAAGATTAAATCTCTTGCAAATGCCTTTATGCTGTTACTCAAAATATCAATGTATTGTTCTTTTCATATGATGACATCGAATGTAATAAAATGTAAAGGACAAAAAAGAGTTCAAAATAATTTAAAATATCTTTACACGCAATGCACTCAATAATTTTATCAAATATTGCTTTTTTTTTTTTCTTAGAATTCCTTTATGCCCTCACAAAAATACATTTTATTTAACCGTGTCAATAAAATTAACGATAACTATATTTTCACTGAGTTTTTCTCGTTCTTTTACGTTTTGATTTTGTCACTGAAAAACTAAGTACACAGAAGAATATATAAACAGTTTAAAGTTCACGCTCAATCTTCCAACCTACATAACGAATTCCATAATTTTTAATGCTGCGAGTAATATATTTTTACAGCTTAATAATGACTGTAATTAAGGATAACTATTTTAGCTACGCTCTAAATTATCTGACAAAGCGTCTCTGTCATCTACCAAAAATAGGCCTGAAGTTGTTACAGCCTCATATGACAAGGCAAGTCGCTTTGCAATCCTTTTTTGACATTACCCTCCTTATGGGTTTCAAACTGTGTAATATCTCTATCACGGCGCGGTAAGTTTCCAAACTTATCAAAAGTCTTGAATCTTAGAAGGTCAACGGTCCGGTTAAATTGTCAGTCGTTGTTATGAAGAAAATCAGCAAACTTTTCGAATCTTTAACCAAGAAGAGGTTTGGCGGAAACCTCAAAAGGAACAACCTACTGAGTGATAGCCACTGGATTACACGCCTTGCGAGATCGACTGCTTGTTTTGTCATTATTCATAGACTCAACATGACATTAAATAAATTTATCACGCAGATCATTCTCCTACATATACCCAAAGACTTTGACATGGTGTGTCCTGGGGTCTGCTACATAAACTCTTCAGCTATGGAAAATATGGAAGTGTTCTCTACCAAGTCCTTCCTGAATGACGTCGTTAACGGCCAGTCAACGGAAGCCTTTAAAGTCAATGTTTGTGATTCACAGTGATATATTCCATTTTTTTCTACTATATATTAATAACCTGTCTCTGATTATTTGTGTGTATATATGCGGATGATCAAAATGATTAGAGGTGCACCTCCCAAAAGTTGGAAGAACTTAACCTAGCAGTTCATCTCACCTCTAATCTGACCTAAATGGTTCCATGGAGAAGGGACCGGTTTATATAATTCAATACGACCAAAACTAGTAACGTCTCACCACCATGCACATCCTGAACTTTGCCCCATCAAGATAGATGGCTGTTCCCACAAGAAGGATCCTTGTCTTGGTCGTCTATTGGGACTAAAGCTCTCCAAAGATATCAAGTGCAACTCATATTTCCGATCTACAGCGAAAGAAACTGAAAGATTTGTTGGTTCATTGTACCAAACCGGATACTTACGTATCTCCCCGCCAACTAAACTCAATCTTTACAAGAGCCAGATCAGTTCAATAAAGGGGTATCGCTATTATATCTGAACTAGAATTGCCCAGATAACACTTCTCTGACTCGGTAGAGTTGACAAGCATCTTTCGGACAATATTTTGAGGCACAGAGTTAACACAGTTAATTTTGGATCCAGCTGGATTCGCACTACGAAACATTTTGTTGCCTTGAAATTTTATATTCATCAATGATGACTCGTAACTGACACACACACACATATATAAATAGAAAAAAAACAAATGGAGGGGGAATCAGCCTCGAGAAGTACGTCAATTCTACAATAAATAGTTACAACTTATAAAAGATACAAACGCGAGAGAAACACGGATAAAACATATCGCAACATTAAATTAAAGTTGTCTTAATATTAGCTTAAACAATGGGGATTGTCCCGAATGTGAAGTTCCAGTTTTTGAGAGGCCTAATGAAAAATATAAGAATTATTCGTTGGTTAACTTAAATCTTAAAATGCGTTTCTTCTTTGAAATGCCTTCATTTCAGAGGGCAAAGTAACATTTTTATTTTGGTGGAAACCATAGAATTCAAATTTTAAACCATTTAACCAGAATAATTGTTATTTTAGCGGAAATTTAATTAGGCCGTTAAAGGTTATATTTAATTATGGTGTTATATGTTATATTTTATGAAATTTGTCTTCATTCAAGCAGCACTAACGCAACGTGTTTCTAATTCTTTTTGTAAAAGAAGTCCTCAGAATTTAAAAGCAATATGTACACAATAGCATAGCGTAATGTATCGACAGGAAGCTATAGAGAAATGATTAGTCTCCAACTATTTCACATCCATAGATCTGGCCAAAAATGACATTTTTGAAGGCATTTTAATCTCGTTGAGAAATGTCACTGTTCATGATTATTTATATCCTGGATAACAAAGACAGTTGCCGGTTTAACCAAGAATCATTTCTATCTCATAAAATTCTGATGTTTGGTGATTTCGTAAGGTTTTAGGATTTGGGTATTGCTATATACGATGGATTATATATAATTCAATAAATCGAATCTATATACCATAATAATGAATACAATATTACAAAAAATCGTTTTTAAGTACAAATACTTAGTAAAATATAATTTGATGGCATCTGAAATGCCGGAAAACGATATATGTTAAAATTTAACAAATTCAAATTTTATAGAAATATTCAACATTCTCAGCTAAAATGTTGAAAATGGATACAAAAATGAAAACAGTTATCCGCAAAGAATGAATTAGATTCATTATTTCTTTCTAATTACAAAACTGATTTTCATTTATATCAATTATTAGGCACAATGCAAAATCCTTTATGCAAATTTCGGAAATGGATTATTAAGTTCGGGGAATATCATCACAACGGCCTTCTCCGTCTGAATTTATTAACTGTCATATGCAATTGTTTCCTATTATATTTTGAAATATATTTAAATAAATGATAAAGATAATTTTATTTGGATTCAGACTGACTTATACCTAGTGGAAAAATATTAGATTATTTTAAAACTAATTAGGGTTGTATCATTAGATTTTGATCATTGGAATACCTTTAATTGAAACTCTTAGAGATCCCATATTTTATAAGAGAAAATGGATAAATATTACAATTAACGATGTGCATGATGTTTCTCTGTAGTCAGAGAGGAAGACAAGTTTAATGAAAAGAAAACAATGCATTCTTCATGTCGACATATTTGTGTCAGCGTGCGGAATGTATAGGATTTGATTTTCTTGTGAGAGTTTCCTAATGAAAAATGTCTAAATTGTATTGGCCGATATATAGAAATGAAATATACTCCCAAGACTTTGAAAAGGCAT